ATTTTTTTCCAACCAATTATTTCTTGCTTATGGTTACAGACATATAAATTAAAATTGAAAACAACAAATTTTGTGAAATCGACACCTAACATATAAGGTGCATTTTTCTTGTAACATTATTTGAAATAAAATATGCGAAAACTATTTTTTTTTATTTAAAAAAAAATAAAAAGTTTCTTTCTGAAAGACAAAGTTATTTATTATTGACAACCCAACGCCAATTTATATGATTGACATATTTGAAATTTACATCATTATATTTTGTTAAATTCATTATTTGTGTACTTTGTTATTTCACAAGTTTAAGTTATATAATATTTATGAAGAATATATTATTTATTGTATAAAAACTGAATTAGCATAAAATATGTCAAAAATATTCTTAAGAAATAATAATAATAGTCTGAAAATTCAAAATTTATTGGACTCATAACAACTAAGTTTATATAAATAATTTCACACTTTTAAACAAGGAATACTAATTTACTAACCCTTACTTTTCGGTCTTACATCTTACCCCTTTTTACATATATTTTGTGCAACCCCCCCTTCTTTAACTGCTATAACTATGTTCATAGAATTCAGGCCTTATCACAAATATAATTTGGTTAAAATCAAGTGATTTAATGCTATGTTCATTTTAGAATAATCTAACCACATATAAAAATGAATATCTAATCCTAAGCATAAATTACTTTCTGCAGAAAATATTTCCCATAACTAAGATTTGATATTATACTATAAAATTATATAAGATGTATGATAACACATAAACGAAATCTGCAGCCACCCATAACCCACCTATAGGGCCGTAAAATGGTATAATTTTAAATAGTCCAAGAGGGCCTTTTTTAAAAAAATACAAACCCCAAAAAATAATTTGTTGATTTAATAAAATTTTTTAATAAACAATATCAATTAATTTTACTAAATGTCAACATTTTAAAAATCTGGATTTTAATTAGTTTAAATTTTAAAAAGTCTAGGCCATGTTGAGCCTAAAAAAATTTTAATAAACCCCAGGTCTGCTCAAAAAATTATTTTTTTAAAATAGATCTGGGTTGGGCTTAAAAAATTTTTTTTCAAATCTAAGCCGGGATTAAAATATCGACTTCTGAAAACCTTCGTATTAGAGCCATGCACAAACAACTTGGACCAGGTCTTTTCCAACTAAATACAAGGAGGTCGGATTTGACAGACATTCTCACAGACTCGTTCAAATTCGGACTTTGATTTGAAAATTTATTTCAACCGGTCTCGAACATCTCCTAAATTTTTTCAATTATAACTTTTTCAATCAATTATTTTATTCAAGAACACCATATTTTTTTATTATCCTATCAGCGTTTAGAATTTTTCCCGCTCTTGTTGAATACTTTTTCAACAATATTTCAAATTTCTTTCTCTGATATGGCTGGATCTTATAAAATAGGTCCAATAACAGGTTTTAAAAGTATAATCAATCATTGTATATATTATGTAATATTCTCCTTTTTGGATCTAAAGATTGAGAAGGGTCAATGTTTTATATTTTATTTTTGATATTTTAAAAATTTCTTGATCATGATCAAATATTTAAGTTTCTTCGAGTGTAAGGAGGCAGGGCTTTCCTTTGCTATGAAAATTTTTTTTTGTTGGCAACAAAATAACGTAAAGAGAGTTTACCGAAGTTAAAATTAAATGAGTTTCTTTTCCACCTTTTCCTTTCTTTTATGGGTTGTTTTCTTGTTTCAAATATAACTTTTCCGAGAAAATTAATATTTAAAACACAATAAAAATTTTTTTTTTGACTTTTTAAAAAAATTATGTCGCATTAACAAACACTTTATATCCAAAAAAATAAGAAAAATATTACAATACATAATAAACTTACAAAATACAATAATAAAATGTAAAAATTTTATGAAATAATTTGCATATTATTTTATTATTTTGTCATGTTTTACCATCATTTTTTTTTGTGGCAAATTTTTTTTAACAAAAAACCAACATTTATATTAATTATATGATAGAATAAAAGAAAAAAGCCTTAATTCCTTTTTTTTTCTTTCGTAGGGGGCCCGTGGTTATATTGATCCTTAATATAAAACACTCAAAAGTGATTTTTAACAATTTTTAAAGTAATAAATGTTTTTTATTAGAGTCCTACATGTTTAGATCTAGCTGAAGTCGGACCAATGGTCTTATAGAATTTTATTTAAAAAAAAATTAAACGGGGTAATTTAACATATTTGTTAATTACCATCCCAAACCTTCAATTTCAAATTGTAAACAATTTTAAACCAAGTAAATTTCCATATTTTACTTATAAAAATTCATTTTTATTTTTAAATAATTATAAACATTTTTTGAAGAATATTGGAGTAGTTGGATGAGCACATCTTACTAATTTTTAATTAAAAAAATATAGATGCCGGGCAAGCTCCGAAAATGCGAATATATTTAGAACAAAAAGGATGTATATACTTTATGAAATTTTTGTGAAATGATTTATGTAGGGAAGAATTTGATGTTCAAAATAAAAAAATCATCAAATATTTTTTAATCACTGAAGATGTTTTTGTGAATACTCAAACAATTGTTTTGCTCAAATTTACCTGGAATTCCAATTTATATTTGTAAAACAAAATTTTTATAAGTAAATCTTTTGTAATTTACACGCATATAAGAATCTTTCATATTAAATCGCCAATTTTTAATAAATTAATTTTGTGGTCTTCGAAAAATACTTTGCTCAAAAATTTGGGCAAAAAATATCTTTGAAAATTCTTAAAATATTTTTTTTGAACGCAGGTCTTTTTTGAAGGCTCATTCATACTTGTATCTGTAATAAAACATAAAATGGTAAAAAAAAATCTTAAAATCAAAAACTATTATAAAACAAGTAACGTAAAAATGACACATTTTAAGGTTAGCCAAAATCCCAGTCCCCTCTACATTTTGATTTCAAAAATATTCGTGCATTAATATGTTTTGAAGCTGGTAAACTATACCTTACCATAAATCAAGGTCCTCTTTATAAAGCATATTTGAATTCCTAGAAATAATTAGAGTCTTTTATTACAAATATTTGAAAAAGAGTCTAGATACATGTATATAAATATGTTCCGAATCTATTTTATCAAGAGACCAGATCTAAAACTGAGAATTTAGGGGTTCCGTTGAATGTGTTGAGCTTTAAACTGAGGGGGGGGGTCACCTAGAAACCAATTTGCGGTTCTACAGGCTACCTTTTCAAATGATATATATATCAAATATCTTAATATTAATTTATATCTATTTATATTGTTCCGTTTATAATTATAAAATTATGCCTGGCGTAAATAAGATTCATTTACATGCAAATATAATTATAAGTATATCAACCAACATTCATTAATATTTTGATCGCAAAATTAAGAGATAGCATTATAAATATAAAATAAATAACGATAGATATCATAAATATAACATTTGGAAAAATTTCGCATCGGATACATATATAACTATATGTAAAATTAGTGTGTATAGATAATATAGTTTTATTTTAACGAATTTTAAAATAAAATAAAAATCGAATAAAAAAATGTAATTTTTTTGGAGATAATATCTCACGCGTCTAATCAGGCTCCCTTCAGTTATCATTAAAATATAGTTGCATACCAAAAACAAGGTATAGCATTATTTCAGCCACTATTTATATATATATAATCAATTGTTTCATTATTTTTAAAAATATAGATTTTAATCCACAAGATTTAGAGTCTATTTTAAAAATATGGTGATATAAATGATGAAACAGCAAAGATGAAGAATGATTGGTTATGGAATACAAGCTATCATAAATGAGAAAGGCCAGGTTGTCATTCCCAACCACTTTTAGACCTTTTATGAAAATTCAAAATTTTACTGAAGGCCAAAATTTATTTATAAATTTCAATAGGTGGAACAGTTTTAATACATTTCCAATACTTATATATTTTATGTATTTGGATGAAACTCTTATTTTGTAAAAATTGGTTAGGCTTCTATAAAGAAACTAGCCCACAATAAGAGATTTACAATGGGAGGGTTAAAAAAATTTAAACATTGTGTTGGAGGGTGGGTGATTTAATACTATTTTAAAAACATAGGGCGGGGGATTAAACAAAATTTTTAGATAAATGGATGGGTAGACGAATTTTTTTTTATGGGCGGGCAAATAGGTTAACTATTTTTAAGACAACAATGGGCAAGCAGGTGTTTGGAGCAAAAAAAACAGTTCACTACAAACCTTTAACACACTTCCTTCCTTACCCTTTTAAGTAACTAACGTCTTCCGATTCGAGATCCGTTCTTGATAAGGTGATATACTATTTAAGCAAAGACGGGAAGGTTCCTTTCAGGAAGATAGTTTATCATTATAGTGTAGAGTTTTCTAGTACTGAATCGCGGGAACCATCAGTAAGATTTTAGCATAATATTAATATAAAAATTGAAGATATAAATTTTCGAATTTTAGAAGGAAAAAAGGGTAATGTATAATAATTAATATAATTTACATTAGAATAAATGTATATTATAGTGGAAAGTAATGAATAAATTTTATTTTTGCGATATTATTTCATATGTTAAAGTTATATTATATACTTTATATAATTCTCTCTTCATTTTTTATGCATCTCATTATAATAAACTCTTTAATAGGTATATTATTATAATAAATAACATTTAGTTTGTAAAATATCGTAATTCTTTTAATATTATAATGTTAAAAAATATAATTAGAAATATTTATTGAAATATTATGAGACAGATCAATTTTAAATGATTTAAAGAATTTTATTTTGTATAAATATAAAAATCAAATTAAATGTTATATAAATTTTAAATTAATTAATTAATCTTTAAATTTTTATTTATAACAAATTTTATTTATTTTATTTTTTAAAATCTCTAATTTTTTTTATATTTTTTTTTATTTATTTTTCAACAAAAAAACCACAAAATAGAAATAAATTTAAAAAAAAATACCTACATAGTGTTATATAATGGAAGAGCTTGATTTGCGTGAACGTTTGCATCCCGGTACTAATAAAAGGGAACTCGAAGGAAGAGGAATCTTTAGAGAGCCATGTATAGGAGTTGCCAAGGTGGTGTATTACTCTATAGACAACATATTAAACCCTAACTTCGGAAAATTAAATGGCCGTCCCCCAAATGTGATAAACAATAATATTCCCGCTATCAAAGATAATGCTGGCGAGGATAATGGTTCTTCGCGTTTAACTCCTTATTCCGGCGATGAAAAAACAAAAGTTTTACGTGCTTTAAAAAATAACTCAGTCTCTAAAAATAAGGATATCTTTAAAGCCCCCTACAATATGCCCCCATCTCCTTTAAAAGATTCGATCACATTTTTAGAAAGTTTCTTTGTAAAGGAACACATTTTTACTTCCAACTTAAATAATAATATTGACAACGATGTAGTAGGTATTGATAAGAATTACGCTGAATACAACGATGACAAAATTATCAAAAATGGCAAAAGTGAAAAGCAATCTTATCACACTAAACAGAAGAGTATTTGCGATTTTCCTACCCCGCGGTCTTCTTCTTCCCAAGTTGAAAAGGATAAAGAGGCGACTAATATCGATATTTTTTCCTCCAAGGTAGGTTCATTTCATCAGCAATCCAAAAATCGCAGAATCTACAACAGATACAAGAAGAAAAATTTAGCCATGGACCCCGTTGGAAATGGTACTAGTACTCCTTCTAAAAGTATTATCCTACCACCTTATCCAATTCCGGCATGGATATATTGTACTAGATATTCTGATCGCCCGTCTTCAGGTTTTAATTATAGGCAATATTTTTTTTGAACTCTTTTCATTTATAATTCATTTTTTAAATTTTGAGAAAAGATGATGGCGGAGACTTTGACTTTTAAGTTTTTACAAAAAACGAATTTATGAAAGTTTTTTAAATATATAAACATCGTTGTTTTTAAAATGCATTCAGTAGGCATTATTGATATGACTATTTATTTTTCTTCATAGTAACTTAGGTTTAAGAATTGAATTTTTTTTTTGACTACTTTATAAAATTTTTAATTTTGCTTATATTTATAATGTTTATATTTTTTATCATTCCTTTAACGTTTAAATTTCTAAGTCCTTGAACCCTTGGGAAATTGATTATTTTATGGTTTTTTTTACAAACCTATAGTTCATTCGAAATTATATTAAGTAAATGGTATAATTGAAACAATTACTAAAATTAAATAAAAATTGGCCATTTCTATATAAAGATAAAACTAAAAAATTAATCAAATTAATTATATGCGAATATTACTTAGTTCATTATAAAATGAAATTTGTGTATAAACAGCTTAGAATAAGAAATTGGTGCATTCTCAGGATTTAGACCAGTTTTCATCTAAAATGTGGCAGTGCCCATGGTCTTCTGAATAAATTGGCAATATATTTTTTTTAGCTATTTTTTTGCCATTTGAGTCCATCGCCTTCTAATTTATTCAAAAACTTTTATTAGTTTCCTTGAATTCATTATTTTAATTGTGATATTCAGTCAAGGGGTAAAAAAAGAATAGAAAATGAAAATTAATATTTTTTCAGGCTGGTATATTTTATATAATATTTAAAATATTATGCCAAATGCAGAATTTAGGCGAATCACCTATTATGAAAAATACCCGCTTATATCGCAAGTATATGATAAAAGTATTAAAAGATACCGAACACAGGGGACCAAGGGGAACATGTGTCCAATCCAATTTTTTTTTATAAATCCAAGGTTTGATGTTGAATCTTATATTTGATAATTCGGATTCATACCTTTCGTCCACTCATTCAAATTTATAAGTAATATGCCAATTTCGCAAAAATTTAAAAAATTTATTTAGGGTTATTTTTGTTTGAAGCAGACTAATAAGATTAAATATTATAAAGAATAAATCAGATAAAAGTATAATAATCTATTACTATTTTTTATGTCATCTTTTATCAGATTAAAGAACTAAGGGTATATCCGACCGGGGTACCGTAAAGTCTTGCTTATTTTATAAAATATATATAAAAACTTTAATTTACTTGAAAACCATCCTAATTCTTTATTAATTCCTATAATAATTGAATTTAATAGATTTACATTATCTTCCAGTTCTATTCTAGTTTTATTCAATTCCACATGCATTGAAACCTTATATATCTCAGTTTCCAATTTTGGCATCCTGTTGATGAACAATACATGAATATCTTTCATTACCAAAGATAACTAAATTTGGTCTTGGCTGCTTGGAATCTTTGGCCTTGCGAAGCTGTTTTACCCGCAGTCTTAATCCACTTTTTGACATTAATTTAAAAAATTTTATCCCCTTGAATATTTTCAACTATTACAAAATATCGGAATTTTATTTATTTAAAAAATATAGACTTCAAAATTGAAGTCATTACACCAGAACCCAAAATTTTTTTTTTCCATAAACAAAAAAAAGTATTTTAAACTATAATTATGCCTTTTTTTTGGAAACTTGCAATCCTACTTCTGTCTTTATGAATGGCCGTTTTTATATATATATTTCTCAGGAATACATTTAAATTTATAAATAAAATCATACAATTAATGGGAAACTAGGCTTCTACTAATGATCTAAAATGATGAGGCCATAGCTTGTCCTCAGATATAGAGTAGATCAGGGACATATTCCCCCCCCCCCGAGCAAATTAAACTCCCTTCAAAATTTTATCCAGAGTTTTACCCCTTATACTTTCCTACCAAATCAAAATTAGCAAAAAAGGAGATAAAAATTTAAATTATTCTATACCTTCCTTCAATTTCTATATTTACTCCTCTCTTTTGGGTTAGATAAATTAATTTAATGCTAAATGTTGATTCTATGATATCAAGTGAAGTGATGATGTAAAATGTATATTAGAAAGAAAGAAAGAAAGAAAGAAAGAAAGAAAGAAAGAGAAAGAAAGAAAGAAAGAAAGAAAGAAAGAAAGAAAGAAAGAAAGAAAGAAAGAAAGAAAGAAAGAAAGAAAGAAAGAAAGAAAGAAAGAAAGAAAGAAAGAAAGAAAGAAAGAAAGAAAGAAAGAAAGAAAGAAAGAAAGAAAGAAAGAAAGAAAGAAAGAAATCAACAAATGAAATAGTTATTAAATTATGTTGTTTTCTTATTTAATCACATATAAATAAGTCTTATTTTTGTAGAATTTCTTAATTATATTTTTTTTTCAATTCCCACTTTTTTCCCATTTCCTTCATTTTATTGGGAAAATTTTTCCTAATTTTCCTGGGAAATATATACCTCTAACCTCATGCATTTGGGTAACCTCCCCAGTTATGGTGTATCCGTTCCCTAAATTTCTTTTCAAAAAAAATAATATTGTGGTAAAAATGAGATATATTTTTTAATAATTTTTTTTGCACAATATAAATAATATTTGAAACAAAATAGATTATTATTTATTTGGTAATATAAAGTATAGTAGGGATTTAATTGACGTTTGTTTGTTCTAGGTATTGCATGACTCCCAGTTTTGCTCATATAATATAATACTGCTTAGTTTATTGAATTAGTTATAATTATTTTGTTAATTTATCTTTTACACCTTCCATTAGGGTATGAGCAGAACATGTCCGATTGCGGAATTAGTTTTATTCTAACTAATTTTATTTCATTTTGATTTATTCTTCCCGAGTTTAAGAATAAATATTTTTTTATAAAAATAACTATATATATGTTATACAATTTATATACTAAGTTTAAATTTATGATATTTCCCCTAAAACGTTTAAATCCTTGAAGAAATCTTATAATTTACATAAGTTTCTAGGTTATAATGTTTCAACTTCCACGCTTTAAATGATATTTTGATGAACACCGTTAAAACTAAATCTACTTCAAACCTGAAAAAGACTCAGATTTTTAAGGAGAAAGGCTTTTTCTAAAAAAAAATTGCATTCAGACATGATTACTTTATTTATTCATTGATAGTTTAATATACAAATATACTCTAATAGGTTTGCATATATTTTTAATTTTTTTAATCCTCAGACTATCTAATTAATATTTTATTGTTCTCTATTCTGTAGTATAACGATATTCTTACCAAATTTTTCATGCTTGTATTATCTCAAATAAAATAAAAAAATGAATGGCTTGACTTTTTTGAAATTTAAAAAAATTATCAATAAAATATGGGCATTTGCTTTTATTAAATAAACAATGTTGCTGTATATTTGTATGTAGACGTCGAAAATCGATATCCTTTAATAATATATTTATACCTTTCGATTATTATAATAAATTGTGGTGAGTGCAGAGAATCTTAATAATGTGACCATCTGTAGATAGTCAGATCCTGTATAAGGTGATAATTCAAAACGGTCATACCTAAAGGACCTTTACGAATAATAAATTACAAACCTTGTTTATTTAGAGTGAGAAATTTCTTTCACTATAGAGTGATCATAATGAAGGAGGCTTATTCTTTTTCATTTGTAAGGCTTTAGTCTGATATAATAATATTGTATAAATAAGTCAATTTAATCATGATTTATTATTGATATTAGCTGAATATTAAATAATTTCATAAATTTTAATAGTATTATTTATTTATTTTTTATTATATTTTTTACCACAACATTAATTTTTTTATTGATATTTTTATTTATATGTCGTCCAAAAAATAAATTATATTAATATTTAAGAATTCTTATGGTATATTAAATGTATATTAAATATTATAATATAGTGATACATAAATGACATGGTTTTATTGGCCAATATATTTATATCAATCAATAATCTTTGAAATAGACAAACTGAAATATATTTAAGAGCGACTGGTATAATTAAATAAATATATACTCTAAACCCCGTTTTAGTTAATATAGAGAAATTGATTACATAGAATAGATTTAGAATATTTAAAGGAAGCAAACTTGCGCAAACGGGGATTTGGGGAAGCTCAAAATTATAGTATTTAGGGGAGGGGGAGGGCTTTCTAATTTTTTTTCTTCTTATTCATTTAAAAGTGAATTATAATGATTTTAAAAATTAAAAATATTACATAAATTATGCTTAATATTACCAATGTTGCTAAGCGCAGGTTTTAAAAGGAGCGCGCTATCGCTATTTGCTAAAAAAGTATATGCTCTACCTCTACAACCTGAAAACTAAGTTGCGCGCTCTTAGCTACAGCTATTTTTTTTATATTTATTAATAAAATAATTTTTGGTTATAATGAGTTTTAGATGTATTTTTATATGTCTTCATTCCTAAATTAAAATTATTGAGATATTTTTCAATCTCTTTGAATATTCATAAGCATTCTTAAAAAATAAAGAATGATTAATACTTTAAAATAAAAATTACCTTGTTTTTTAAGTTACAACTGCTCGAATTATTAGAAGAAGATATTACTTTTTTACAATTTAAACATGAATTTATAGCTTGATTTTGTTCATACATTTTAAAATACTTTTGATATTTTGGAAATAGAAACTTATTAAAGTTTTCAAAAATTCTATTTTCTTCCTGTGTAACTTCCATTTCAATTATATTCTCACCTGAATCTGTCTCACACGGACTGTCCTTGATATTTATTCGCTTCGACATTTTTAATATTACTTACTAGTAGTTAAAATTATAATTCATGATAAAATTAAATTTTAATTTTCGTGTTTAAAATTATTTTTTTAAATGAAACTCAATGCCTATTTTCTAAAAAGAAGTAGCGCGATATCTATAACTACCAAAAATGTTAGCGCGACAACCCTGAATATTACTTAATATTTATTTTACTATATTATATGACATAATATTTCTT